AGTATAGACAAATTGAGGATTTTACAGCTGAATAAATAATTCTAAAAACTGAATTTAATTGATAATGTAAGATAATAAATTCAAGATTATAAAATTTTCTTTCAACGATAGATCGAGTTGTGATCTCTGCGTAAATAAAATATATTGCAGTGCAGATTTAAAATTGTTTTAAATGATGAATGATAAATGGCTTCGTGTGAGAATGTTTTTCAGCCATATATCGGAGGAATTGTGTGTTTTCTCTATCTTTATTTTTCCGGATTCACGTCCACGATCGATTCGTGTCTGACCTGTTTCGGACATGATCCCTCACACGAATCTTCCTCTTCTTCTTTGACATACGATGGACGTACTAACGAGCGATCCTTTTGCATAGAATAGCCGAACGAGTCCGTTCATTTATCAATCCGAAGATCGATCCATTTGTCTGTGTCAACATCCGACGAACTTAAAAACTATCTTTTTCGGGTTGGCCGTTCTCTTTTCTCGGGCGTTGTTTCTTTGAATATCGATTTCAGAAAAACCAGAAGAAAATCGAAACTAATTAAGGTTGTGGCCAACATTAAGTGAAATATCCTGAGAGTAACATTTACGACTAATATTACTCATGACAGAAAAAATTTTAGTGATATTATATTTATTTTAATTTTCCAGTCAATGATTCTGAGAAATGATTAATTAAAATTTAAAGAACATGAATTTCTTCTGAAGGAAGTGTTGGAATAAGTGTTGATAAAACTAGCTTTTATCGAGAGACAATTCTTTAGCTCAGAATATAATTCTTGATGCATTTTATTATCAATTATTAGTTTACCAATAGTTTTCAATGTCGTTCATCTCTTCGCGCGAACGATGTATCGCGAAACGGGGCGCAAAGTTTGTCGTTTGTAATTATTGATTTACGACATCGTAATTTACGTTATCTGTGTCGGATGAAGGAGAAGCGTGCAAGCCGGCATGCGTTCTTTATCTCTGCCATATTCCCGTCATATTTTTCGACACGTCACTGATAGACGCGATAACGAGAGCATGCTCGGGGATTAATGTGTTCCACGTCTCGAATTTCTCTCTCGATATTTGGAGTTGACGAGATGAAAGTTGAATTAATGCGGCTTTACCTCGATCGTGTTTGTCAGCGATAATTTATACTCATTTCAATGCCCCCTCTGGAATTGCATTTAATGCGCATTTTAAATTTTCCGATTGACATTCCGGTCTCGCGCGCACATTAGGCTCGCATTGTCTACGCATCTGTGCATTGCGCGCGACATTGGCACGACGCACATACGTCCTCGATTCGCGAAATGTCTTTTATCTAATGACGCTTATTATATCGGTAAGACGATGATGTGCAGTTGCTGCGAACGCGCGATAATGCTTGCTTGCGTCCTATCACGAAACGATAAAGAAATTGCCAATCGTGTACATATTAAATACGCGTTGCACAACTTTCATCTCATGGAGATGGATTTATCCATCTGAAGAAATTCGATATGAATCGGGAACATTATGTAAGATAAGTACCTTTAATTTGAATAAAAACAGAAGTAATTCACTTAAATAAATATTTATGATCTTCAAGAATTTTTTACTATAGAGTAAATAACAGGAAGAAAATATTAGTAATTCCGTCTCTTATAATCACATATTTTTGATTATGAATCTTAGCACAATTTATACGATATATTGATACGATACGAAATTTTCTAACAAATTTTTTTTAAATATAAAATTTCATATTTTGAATATATTGGGGATGTGCAAAAAGATAATTACACTTATACGATTATGCGGAATATTTTATTTTTCTCAAAATCGCGGTTGACAAAATTTGTTAATCACATCCAGCAAGGAAGGGAAAGTAACGGCGCGTCAGTAATAACGTACGTTAGAACTTCTCACAGATGCCACGGTGTCTTCTCTGTAACGTCTTTCTCCTGTAAGGTTTTAGTTTCGGCTTTGGCCGGAGACGATATCAAGCGGAACGCGCGGGTAAACTCGGCGCGATAGCACGCCTGTGATAACGAAGTAGAGCCCCGGTTCTAAAGACACCGGCAAACACGGCACAGATTCATCCCTTCCTCCGTTCCGGCGTCTCCGTTCATCGCGTTCAAGTTTCGGAATCGTCCTCGTTTCCTGCAAAACGTTCTAAATCCCCTTCCCTCTCTTGCTCTTCGCTGGCATGCTCCTTACGTCGTTGCTCATTAACGCGAGCGAGCGATGGAGAAACCCGTCGATGCACTTGGCTGTTTATTGTTCGTCGTGCAAACTCGACGTTCTCGACGCGTACGCAAGTATGCAAGTATGAAAACCGCGCGCGACTCGCGAGTAGAGGAGGCCTGAAATACACCGTAACATCGTTCCATCTCCGACGAAGCGTGGAACGTTTAACAATTTTGGTCGTATGTTTCCGTTAAATATAATGAAATTGAATGATCTGTGTGCTTACGCACGGCGCGATATTAAAACTCTTCTTTACTTACTTAATCTTAAATAACTATCTTTTATACGTCTATATTGAGCGTTAAATATTTGTATAAGTACAAGGGTTGTATTCAACGCTAGCACAAAGTGGAGATTAAATGGCTATGTAATATGTATGCCCGAGAATATAGAGAAAATATCTCGCGTTAAAATTTGTCGATTAAAAAATAATCACGATTATATGACGGACGCACGTTGTGCTCGGTAACAAAACTGTTGGTGAAATGCATATTGGTTTTGTTGAAACTACAGTTGGAATATTTACTAGCATTTACTTGGAAATACGATAACAAAACTCTCGTTAAATCCTCCAAATCCGTACATGAACAATTCAGCAGTTGCTGAAAAATAAGCTTTCTCTCTTAATGGTAACGTGGAAAATTAATAAAACGCAGAATTTGGTGTAGTAGGCGTGTTTGCGGAAACGCGGTTTACAAGCCCGGGTTAAAGTACGCGAAAGCGCATAACCGCAAATTCTCTCGTCGCAAAGTTGTTGCTGGATAGGGAACATGACGACGTCTCACGTGGAAAAGTGATGCTTTATGCAATGTACCGGCGGCTGTTTGGTTTCGGAGTTTACTCGGCAGACGCAAAATCTCGCAAGTCATGCAGCGACGCGCCCATTCGCGATCCGCGATCGTGCGTGAATTTAATTACAGTTTTGCCGAGGCAATGTAAATTATTAGCAGCATTGCGAGAGCATTCGCGCCGTCACAAGAACGCGGACCATTTTGCTGCGGAACGGTAAAACAGTAGATAATTATTAATTATTTGTAGCTATACCGCTTTGTGATTTATTATTATATAATTTCTAGGTTTATTTCTGAATTATTTAACTGTGCTTTACGAATATAAATTTTGAAATTAAATAAATTCTACACGAAGAGGAACTTTTGTTTGATTCCGTTTTTATTTTCTCGTATGTTATTATCGTCATTCGTTTCCTCTGTTATATTAATTTAATATCTTTTGCAAAGACTAGACTTTTTAAATCAAAATTAATTTAATGTCCAATAGGCCGCTGTTTTATTTTTCTTATCAAGATTTTAATAAGATTCTTTGGTCACGCACGAATTAAAAAATGTGACAACCACACATAATATATTTCGATCCTCTCAGTATCCCCGCGGGATAAGGCGAAGGATTATAGTTTCTCATGGGAGGTATTCACCAAGGTGTCCACGAAGGATGGATGTGTCGCACGGACAAGACGAATGCCAGCTCATAATAGGCTTTCCATTCGGCGTAGCTCTCCTCTTCGTGAACGGCGGCAACTTGCGATTTTTCGGGCGATAAATCGACGGAACGATTTCGTCATAAATCAACAGCAGCAGAGAACGCGAGAAAAAAAGTGTGAATAACGACGAAAATCCGTGAGTGTTGTTCTCGAGGTTCACATGAAAATATTTAGATCGCAATGGCGAATTTCTAGTGTCTATTACAAAAAATTTTTTTATTGATTCCATGTCATGTTAAAAGTTTTGTTAATTGTCGGAATATTTGTCGCAACGAGAGACTAACGAAGCAAATGAATTATCGATATCGCCGTTAAAGAAATATGATCAATAATATAATATCGGAATGACATATCTATAAGAGAGATAGGACAATCTACTTTTTTCGAGGCGCTATTTAATTACAAATACTGATTTGTATCACTGTGCGAATTATATAGTTTACGAATAATATCTATACTTTATCAGATATATCTTATCTTTATTTGAACAACACAGTTATTGATCTTCCACGAACGGCATTGTTTTGCTTTCAGAAAAAAAAAAAATACTACCTGTGTTTGTACAACTTGGCACATTTTCCTTTTTTGATCTTCAATGCTCTTGCCATTCTCATCACGTATTCTATAGTAATAAATTTCCGAAATTAAGACGAACGTGCGAGAATACGGTACAGTTAGGATCTCGAAGTCATTCTTGACCAGCAAAAATTGCTACATGTTTCTAAAGTAACGCGCACTTTCTCTGGCAATGCTGAATTTTTCTTACATTCTCTTACATTCTCATTCGCGAGCCGTTTGCGAGGCATTCCTCAGACTGGCATTGCGAGATTGTCCGCGTTGGATCATCGCGAATGTGTCTCTCGCGCGAGCGAGGAGACACCTCCGAGATGCTATCTTCTACTTTCCGCGTACGCAGAATGCTCCTCATGAATTTTTCGAGAGCGTCGCCGTGAGAAATTCTCCGGACTACCGACAAATCGCCATATCTGCGAAGGCGCGAGACACGAACTGAGTCGAGGGGAAAAAAAGTACGAGAAACTTGGCGCGTGTTATGGAGATTCTACGGGATTTCGTTGCCCGCGTCCCGTCGAGATATCAGTCCGTCCGTCTGATATTCCGCGCGAATTCTCACGCGGAATTCCATCTCGAGGCGACCCTCGATGGTGGCGACGGGGGTGACTCGGAGAGACGGTAATATCAGTCGTATTACGGTCGGTTGAGGAACTTTCGGAATCTCCCGCGGAACACCCTGTCTCGAACACGTTTCCGACGAAATAATCGCGCGTCTGGGATTTCAAACAGTCTCGTGGCCCTTTTCCGGCACTCTCCCTTTCACCAGAGTTGTCATTGCCTTTTTATATTTCTCTGAGAGGAGTCGAGGAAATTGAAAACGTGAGCGCAGTGCTCACGAGTCTCTCTTACCGCTGTTCTTTATGCAACTTGTGGAGGAATCACAATCACGTTATCAGCCCTTTGACATTATTGACGTGAAGGAAGAAAGAAAGAAAGTTGCGAAAATATCACAAATATGAAATGTTTTTATTTATTCGAGTTTATTTATTCGATTATTTCGAACGAAAAATTATTTGTTTCTTTATTAATAAATTAATTGTAGATAAAAGTGAAAAATACAGATACGGCGTTTACAGCTTTTATTTTTCAAATCTAAATAAATTTTTTCAGCAGCAATTAGATATAAAGTTGTTGGTTCCTTCGTTTGCAGATATTACGAGATCGTTAGAGACGTCAGACCGAACAAGGGTACGATTCTCAAGTCGTCGGTGGAGTACATAAAACTGTTGAAAAACGAACTCACGAGGATGAAGCAGAATGAGCTCAGGCACAAACAATTGGAGCATCAGAATCGCAGATTGCTTCTGCGCGTGCAGGAACTCGAACTGCAGGCAAAGGCGCACGGTCTTCCGGTTTCCGACTTCAACTGGGCGTCCACTTCCGCCATGCTCAACACCTTCCCGAGGAGTAAACTCGAACAACGAAAGGTAAGTATAAAGTCCTTCTCTATCCAGTCCGCATCTTGTTCAAATTCATTGCTTCGAGTATACATCGTCATATTATTCCATTCATTGCGCAAGTTTCTAGTCTAACTTCCGTCTTCGTAATAATTCATACTTGCGTTTGATCTTGATTTATTCTCGCCTTTCTCCGATCCTTAAATAATAAAAATATACTCAGCACTTGTTTCACAAGTGTTACGTTTTTCTGTAATATTTATGTAATATTTTTTTATAAATGTTAATATTTTATTTATACGTGTAACGCTTTCTGACAATAGGATATCTATGCACAAACGAGTTATTACTTAGCTTAACGAGTAATTTTCATCCTTGATATGCAAAAATATAATATTGTCAATTTCAATTTTATCAAATATAATTTCATAAGTCGGCGAGTCATTTAATCTTAATGCGACAACGGCGCGGTTAGTTTCGAGGCTATAGCGATCGATCCGATCCTTGATCCGAATAAACCTTCCGCTCCGTTCGCCAGACTAGTTTCATAATGCGTGCATCTGTTCTGAGAGAGAAAAAGAGTCGGGGCCAAATAGCTGTTTGCTTATTCGCTCACTCGCGCGCGATCTCTCCTCCCATTTATATCGATACTCTCGTATATACGAGAACGGTAATGCCGTCTTTTGACAGCGGTGGTTTTATTACGCAACCAGAGATCGATCCGAAGCCGTTCGTGTTTGCATAATGAGAAATGTTTTCTCATTTACGTACAATTGACGTATCGTTCCTCGCCGCGCCTCAAGCGACCTCTCGTTTGATGACGATCTTGTACACCGTTCGATAACTTGATGACGAAGCAATTAGATAGGATTATGACATACGAATCTTATAGATATCTTTCGAAATCTTCATTTACATTCAAACATAATTTATAGTTTTTTTTATTATAAAATTTTAACTTTACATAGATTGTAATTTTAGTTACGATAATTGGAATAATGCTCACGAGAAGAGATGGATATTTTTCAAATAGTTACATAATTTAATTTAATTATTATATTAAAATTATAATTGATATAATTTTCGTTTAAAAAGTAGTCAGACATTATTTTCTATTTCTCTACTCATTGGCTATATATATATATGAACATAACAATTTTTTAACTGATAATTCTAATTGATAGCGGATTATTATTCTGAATAATGAATCGCGGCTTATCGTCTGAGCGTTGTGCAAATCGTTTCCCCTCGTTTTACCCCTCGTTACGATTTCGCTCCCTAATTCCAGCCGGAAGGGTGGAATCTTCGGGAGATAGCCATTGGCTGTCGTTCTCATTCTTTCGTTTGCTCGATGACGGAGATATCTCGTGAGATGAGCGACAAAAGTTACCGTTGAATTAGTTTGCCAGATAAGATTGCGCGTACGTACGTACGAGATTTGACGTACACGATTTCGTGATGCGATTAAGAACTCTGAAAGTTTCGATAACGACGGAGCGGCTCTTCGACGACGACAGATTTGGGCCTCTTAAAGAGGCCATGTCACTGGGGAGACACAGACAAAGAAACAGAGAGGTTATTAACATTTTTATTACACCCATGCCGACAGTGGCGTAACTGACGGCCGTTCACATCTGCAGAACTTTTAATGATAAACTTGGAGTGTTGAAAAGAAGTGACGTATAGAATTACCATATGCAAAAAAATGTTTAAAAATGGTTTTTAACATGTTATTAGTGAAGACTTTATTTATCATAAAGTCTCGAATAGCTTGGGATATATAAAACAAAAATCGAATGCAATCTCTTTAATTTCTCTTTTTATTTACCGCTGTTCTAATTTTATCTGATGTCGCATCTCGTATCTCTTCGACGAACATTAAAACTCTCCGTCCGTCGTATATATGACGGTACGTGACGGGAGTGACGACGATTCTTGTGTGCATTGACGTTATAATTTACATCCGCTCGTCACATTTTCGGAAATATTCGGAGTCGCGCTGCGACGCGTCAGATAACGAAAGAGACGCGAGATGACGTACCTGGAGAGGGATGAGTTGAATTATTGTTCGAGATAAAGTTCCATCGGAGCGTAAGTAGTCTGACAAGCAGCTTCCTCGCGGTTAGAGAAATTTAAACATTGATAACGTCCCGCTTCGCGATTCGCGCGACGTGTTCCGACCGAGGCGAGAGAAGTGTCTCGCGTATTGCACGAGGAATTTTACTGCGACACTTAACCGTCGGTTTGCTTAACGTTAATTTCGTCCCTCGATTTATCTTGCGCGAAATGTAAACGATGTCGTACAAATGCGTTTCAGATAACGAGGAATTATTTTTAGGAAAAAAGACAAGGGCGGAATATATATATATATATATATATATGTGTGTGTGTATATATTTTTAATTTAAAATATGCGAGTTGTAGAAAAGAATTATTTAAAAATTCGCGATGATTCGTTAATCCGAGTTCAAAAGATGAACTGCATTATTTATGCTTGACTTATTACAAGTTTGCTTATGTAATTTTTACTCACATTTAAGTTTCTTAGTCAATTTGTTATTTTGTGTAGAAAAATTATAGTTTGTGAAAAAGTGACTCTTATTTCGATATTTGCAGAAAAAAGGTGCACACAAAGGACTTGCGCAACGTTCATTCTGAGATTGGAATAATTGCAAGCGTAATTGCACGCGTTAAATCAGCACGCGCCTGAATGTCGTGCAAAATATTTACCTTTACCACCGGCATCGTGCGTACGTTCGCGAAGTACAGTCCTTATCGCTTGTCTGCCTCTTATCGTACGTGCTACCTCACGCGAGACTTATACCTTTTATCTCGCATCTCAGCGCGTATATTTTCGCGAAAAGAACACTCCGCGCCACTCCAACGTCGGGACAAAGGATAATCGCCGAATGAGCTGTAACGTCAGAAACCACGTTGCGCAACGGCACGCCGCGGCATTTTTTCATGCAAATTTAACGCCCTCCGCGTCGTCCAAGTATATGGCGGTTATGTAAAAACGCGCATGCGATTGCTTCGCGGAATATCGTGTCAAGTATGAAATCGAT